CTTGAGGCTCTGTCTCAAAAAAAAAAAAAAAAAAGTAGAAATTTGGATATAGACATGTTGTACACAGGGAGATCACCATGTGAACATTAAGGCAGAAATTAGGATGATACATCTAGAAGCCAAGGGACTCCAAAGATTGCCAGCAGTCACCAGAAGCTAGGAGATGTGGGACAGTCTCTCTCACACACCTTGGGAGGAATCAATGCTGCCAACACCTTGATGTCAGACTCTGGCCTCCAGAGTTGAGAGATTAACTGTCTGCTGCTTAGGGCCCCTGGTTTGTGGTACTGTGTCACAGTAGCCCTAGCAATCCACTATGCCACTTTTCAGAAGGACCTCTGAAAGGACACATATCCCGCTTGCCCCCGATCACCCAGAGATCTTCACCCCCACTCCCTCACCTCCGGTCAATCATCTGGTAGCACTTCTTCAGCCAGCCGATGCCAGGCATCCTCCGCCTGGGGGTGGCACCGTTCAGGTACACGATCATGTAGTCCTCTGCCACCAGGAGCTCCAAACTACTGATGACGTACCTGGTTGCCGGGTGTAGAAGGCAGAGACCCAATGTGGAGGAGACCAGCATCAGGACACCTGTGGCCCCTACCCTTTCTGCTTCTACCCCTATTCCGGCTGGCCAGCCTCACCTGTTCAGGTGTTGTCTGGTGTCCTGACACACTCCAGGGCTGCAAGTGAAGGTAGATAATCCCCACCCAGCCCACAAGTGTGTCAGTGGGTACCATCATTGCAGAAGCTACCATTTTATTGAGCACTTATTAGGTACCAGTGTTTTCTATATACATGATCTCATTTAATGTCACATGAGAGTTGGCCATTATCCTCATTTAGAGAGGGGAGCAGGTGCCCATGAGAGTCAGCAGTGTGGCAGGCATTCCCTGCTCTGGCACCAGAAGTTAGGAAGCCACACATCTACCTTAGACTTGTCTTTCCCTGAGTGATGCCGGAAAAATCCCTCCCTCTCAGGCCTCTACTACTTTCCTCCTTTTCAGCCTCTACTTCCTTGTCTATAAATTAGGGAGGCGGGCTTCATGTTATCTCAGGCTACTTTCTGCTCTGACCTTCCACGGCTACCTCCTCTTGTCCAAGGCCCATGTGACAAACCTCTGCATGTTTGATGTTCTGAGGAGAACCAACCAACAGAGCTTGGCAGTGGGGAGGTAAGATGGAAGAGGAGGAATGAATCCCAAAAGGCAGCTGTTTCCCCACTGGCTATGGGATCTTTAGGGGCAGGGATTGTATTAAATTCATTAGCATCCCCAGATGCACAGCCGGAAATCGCTAGCAACTGGATGGATGAGTGGAGAGACAGATGAATGAAGAGATAAACACATACTAGGGAAGTGGACAGATCGTGGTTTCTTACTTTTGGCTCTGTTGACATTGGGATTGGATCATTTTATGGGGAGGGGCTGTCCTGGGCACTGCAGAGTATTCGCTGAGCACATCCCTGGTTTCCACCCACCCCATGCCAGGAGCACCCTCCAAACTCCCCAGACTCCTTCTTTCTTGCCGCATTTCCCCCCTTCTTATGCTGTTGGGTCTAACCTGGCATCTAAGCACTCCTGCATAAAATGGAAATCTTTCTTTCTCTCTTTCTTTCTCTTACTCTCCCTTTCTCCTTCCCTTCCCTTCCTTTTCCTTTAGGTTCCATTGCAGTAGCATCATCATAGCTCACTGCAGCCCTTCAACTCCTGGCCTTAAGTGATCCTCCTGCCTCAGCCTCCCAAAGCACTGGGATTATAGGCATGAGCAACTGCACCTGGCCTGGAAATCTCAATAACAATGGTAAGAGTACTAACGATTTACTGAATCTTAATATCATCAGGTGCTTTCTATGTATTACCTATTATCTGTTATAATCACACTGTCCCAGCATCTCTGTGCCTCAGATTGCTGCTCACCCATAGGCTGGGAGGCAATGGCATCTACCCCATAGGGTTGTGGTAAAGGCAGGATGTGTTCACATGTAGGAAGCACTTGGCTTTGTGGCTGCCACAAGGTGAATGCTCAGTAAATGACAGAGATGGTGATAACAATGATCTGATGAGGAGGAGAAGGTGAAGGAGGACTGAGAAGCACAGAGAGAAGGCCACTGGGGAGTCGGTGGGCCACCAGGGACTCAGCTTGAGGTCTGTGGCAGCGACACCCTTTTCTGGTACCCCCAGAGGCCAGTGGGCCCCAGAACTTGCCAGAGGCTGCCTGCAGTAGGGAGGAGACTCACAGGAAGAGGTTCTCCATGATGTAGTGGTAGTCTGGGGAGCTGCTGTCTGGGAGGAAGCAGGCGGCAAAGACGATGATGGCATTGAGACCTTCACCATAGTACCCTGTGGGGAGGCAGTCAGTGAGTGGCCCCCAGCTCCCAGGCAGTGATGGCAGATTCTTCTCTGAGATCTCAGCTGCCTGATGCACTACCCACCACATCCACCTTGCTCAGGAGGGCACAGCTCTGGGCTGCAGGACCTGGCAGATGAGCCAGCAACCCTTTGAGTAGTCTCTGCATTTGGTGGGGAACTGCAGCTGCTATCAGATGCACTCAGGGTATGCCCTGCAATCTCTGCTGTGCCCACCATCTGCCCACCTCAAGCGAGTCTACACCTTAACATCCCCATGCATTGGCTTGGCACCTGTGGCTCAAGTGGCTAAGGTGCCAGCCACATACACCTAAGGTGGCAGGTTCCAATCCAGCCCGGGCCGCCAAACAACAATGACAGCTGCAACCAAAAAAAAAAATAGCCAGGCGTTGTGGCAGCCGCCTGTGTTCCCAGCTACTTGGGAGGCTGAGGCAGGAGACTTGCTTTTGCCCAGGAGTTGGAGGTTGTTGTGAGCTGTGATGCCACAGCACTCTACCCGGGGGACAGATTGAGGCTCTGTCTCAAAAAAAAAAAAAAAATCCCCATGCATCAGATGAAAAGACCAAGGTCCAAAGAGGGGCATTGATGGGCCTCCTGTTGCCCAGCAGCCTTGGCTGGAGCTGGGAGGGTGTGCTGAGGGTGTCACTCTCACCTCCATGGGTGACCACCTTCATGTAGGGCCGGATCATGTGCAGGTCAATACGGTGTTCTTGTTCCCCGATGATCACCGTCCGCCACAGGCGCCCGTTGGCAGCACTGCCGTCCTCTGCTGCACCATCCCCAAATAAGTCTGCACTGTCCCCAGGCATGTTCTTGGCAGTGGCCACAGGGGTGTCATCTGTAACCAGACTGGGGGGTGAGCTGAAGAAACACCTGGGTTGAGACCTCTCCCAACTGCCCACCCAGCCTTCCTCTGTGTCTCCCTTTGCTGCTGGAGTCCACATTTCTTTTGCTTCTCCCAACCTGGCTGGCCCATTTTCCTCCCCTAGTCCCGCTTCAAGGCCCAGCTTACATGCCACCTCCTCCAGAGAGCCTTCTCAGACATTTCCTTTGCTGGCCTCCCAAGAGTGCTCTGATCATTTTGACCCCTGCTCTGGGCTTCTCAGCGCATGAAAAGGGTTGTTTCCTGAACCATGAGTGCACTCAGGGCAGGGGCGCTTGGTTTTTATTCTCCTGGGAGCCAAGTACATAAAGAGGCAGGATCAACCCTCGTTCTGGGTCTGGATTCATTAACCATGCTCTAGTGGTCCCCAAATCTTGCCCAACCCTTGGCATTCCTTACATCTCCAGGGCCCTGTTTCACTCTCGGTGTGTCTGGATCCAGCTACCTCTGAACCCCTCCCTATGGTCTGTCCCTCAACCTCTAAGGAGTTGTTTTTAAAACTCCAAGTTGGATCATGCCACCTACAAATACTAATCTCTCTTTCTCTTTTTTTAAAGCGGTGGAACCCAAAAAGGTGCTTAAGGAGGTGCAAGTCAGGTGACCTGAGTAGACTCCATTTCTCCAAAGGACTTGCTGTGTAATCTACACATTACTTCCCTCTCTTGGGCTTCTCAAGGTTCTTTTTTCTCCCCAGAGTCTCTCTCTGCTGCCTGAGGCTAGAATGCTCTGGCCTCAGCCCAGCTCACAGCAACCTTACACTCCAGGGCTCCAGTGATCCTCCTGCCTCAGCCTCTTGAGTAGTTGGGACTACAGGTTTCACAACACCTGGCTAATTTTTCTAATTTTGGTAGAGACAGGGTCTCACTCTTGCTCAGGCTATTCTCAAACTCCTGAGCTCAAACAATGCTCCCACCTCAGCCTTCCAGATTGCTGGGATCACAAGTGTGTTCTCAGGGTTCTTAACCATTCTTAAAATACTCCCTTTTCCCCTCCCATTCTTCCTGTCTCAGGACATGGCACATCCATACACTCACCTACCCAGGCCAAAGAAACCCAGGTGTCATTTCTGACCGTGTCTTCACTGTACATCCCACATTCCCCCACAGCAAGTGCTGGGCTCTGTTTCCAAAGGGGACCCCCAACCTGCTAATTTCTCTCCATGCTCAGGGTCACCACAGTATCCCAGTATGCCATTCTCCAAGCCCCTCTCCTACCATCCATTTTTCCCTGGATGCCACAGAGAAGGTTTCTAAACACATTGGAGATCAGATCTGGTGGATCCTCAGGCCACTGACTAGTAGGAATAAAAGAAACTCCTCCTTGCAACCTCCTGAGTCTTCTGTGGTCTTCTGCCTCTTTCTCACCCATCATCTACCCACTTCCTCTATTTCTTTGCCCATCCCCCCCATGACAGTCACATTGGAGACCTTTCTGATCCTTGTCTTGCCCCTGGTTCTCAGCTAAAATGACACCTATTCAGGGTGGCTCTTGCAGACTATCCTTTAAGAGCCTCCATGCCCCATCCCTACATTTCTCTCCACTGGGCACTGTGGACATTTGGGGCTGGATAACTCTCTGGGGTGGAGCCATCCTGGGTCCTTCAGGGTGCTGACTGGCCACCCTGGCCTTCACCTGCTCCATGCCAGAAGCACCCTCAAGCCGTGACAACCACATGTTTCCCTAGACATTACTAAGTATCCCCTGGGGGGCTGGATTGCCCCCTGCCCCCTGCCCCAGGTGAGAACAACCGTTGTATTCCATCACCTCACCCTATTGCCCTATAGCACTGATGACTAATGGTCTTGTGCACATTTGATTCCTTATTTTGTATCTGTCCTTGTAACCATCTCTCTTGTCACATTCTCACCATATCCCGAGCACTTGAATCTAGACCTGCCCCAGAGTAAATGCTCAGTGAGTATTTGTTGCATCAATTGATGCAGGGTGTTTGGATTTCAGTCACCTGAGAATCTGGTGACAGCCATGTCTCCCAGAAAAATTCATAAGTCCCTAAGAAAAATGTGCATCAAGTTGCAGGGGTAGATGGTAGATGGACTCTCCTGGAGCCCAGGTGGAGCCTCTGCCCCACCTGCCACTCTCTAAGCCTACAAGGATGAATGGACAGTGGCTCCAGCAAGCCGTAGAGACACCCATGACCTTCACCTTCCCACTCTAGTTCATTGCCATTTCCTAGGAACTCCAGTGAGTCGGTCTCATCGGGGGTCTCGATGTCATCCACGTTTATATCCAGGTCATCAGGGGTATCCAAGAAGTCATCGGACAGCAAGGAGCCCTCACTCTGATCCAGAGAAATGTTAATCTCTGGGGCCACCAGTGTCTTTCTCTTACGATGAGCTCCGTTGAAATTCAGCGTATTGGGAGGGGCTGCAGGGAAAGGGGAAAAACAGAAAAAAGTTCCTTTTTTCTTTTTTTCTCTTCCCTATTTTCCAATCTCCTGGGACGGAGGCTATACTCAATCCCGTATCGATCCCATTGTGTGGAGCAGTAGAATTCAGTGGATATCCTCTCATGGCACTTATAAATGTCATAACCACTCTCCTATGGGGACACTCCCTGCCTCCAATTACAGCTCACAGCAACCTCAAACTCTTGGACTCAAATGATTCTTTTGACTCAGTCTCCCGAGTAGCTGGGACTACAGGCACCTGCCACAATGCCTGGCTATTTTTTTTAGAGATGAGGTCTTGCTCTGGCTCAGGCTGGTCTTGAGCTCAGGCAATTCACCTGCCTCAGCTTCCCAAAGAGCTAGGATTATAGGCATGAACCACCTCTCCCGGCCTAAAACACATTTTCTTTATCCAGTCCTCTACTGATGGACGCTGGGTTGATTTCATATCTTTGCTATTGTGGATAGGACTCCAATAAGCAAGGAGGTACAGGTATCCCTTTGATATAATGACTTCTTCTCCTTTGGGTAAATACCTAGTAGTGGTATTGCTATACTGAATGGTAATTCAATTTTTAGTTATTTTTAGAAATCTCCATACTGTTTTCCATGGAGCCTGTACTAACTTACATTCCCACCAACAGTGCAGAAGAGTTACTTCCCTTTCCTCTGCATCCCTGCCAACACCTGCTATTTTTTGTGTTTTCCAGAACAGCTCATTCTAACTGGGGAAGATGATGTCTCATTGTGGGTTTGATTTGCATTTCCCTGATGATTAATGATGTTGAGCATTTTTTCACACACCTGTTGGACATTTGTATGTCTTCTTTTTTTTTTTTTTTTTTTGATACAGAGCCTCAAACTATCACCCTGGGTAGAGTGCCGTGGCATCACAGCTCACAGCAACCTCCAACTCCTGGGTTCAAGTGATTCTCCTGCCTCCGCCTCTCAAGTAGCTGGGACTACAGGCGCCTGCGACAACACTTGGCCATTTTTTGGTTGTAGTTGTCATTGTTGTTTGGCAGGCCCAGGCTGGATTTGAACCCATCAGCTCAGGTGTCTGTGGCTGGCACCTTAGCCGCTTGAGCCACTGGCGCCAAGCCATGTATGTCTTCTTTTGAGCAATGTCTATTCATGTTATTCATGTCCTTTGTCCACTTTTTAATGTGATTATAAGTTTTTTTCTTTACTGTTGAATTATTTGAGTTCCTTGAATATTCAGATACTGTAGTTTGTCTGAGATACTATCTTGCTCCACTACTCAGGTTGGAGTGCAGTGACATCATCATAGCTCAGTGCAGCCTTGAATTCCTGGACTCAAGTGATCTTCTCATTTCAGCCTCCTGAGTAGTTGGGTCTGCAGGTGTGTGCCACCATGCCCAGCTAGTTTTTCTTTTTCTTTTCTCTCCCTCTCTCTTTTTTAAGATAGTGTCTCACTTTGACACCCTGGGTAGAGAGTTGTAGTGTAATAGCTCACAGCAACCTCAAACTCTTGGGCTCAAGTGATCCTCTTGCCTCAGCCTCCCAAATAGCTGGGACTATATACAGGTACTTGCAACAATGTCTGGCTTTTTTTTTTCTTTTTAATAGAGATGGGGGTCTTGCTCTTGCTCAGGCTGGTCTCCAACTCCTGAGCACAAGTGATCCGCCCACCTTGGCCTCCAGAGTAGTAGGATTATAGGTGTGAGCCACTGTGCCCAACCATTTTTCTTTTTTTATAGAGATAATGTCGCAATTTTGCTCAGACTGGTCTCAAACTGCTAGTCTCAACCAGTCTTCCTGCCTTGGCCTCCCAAAGTGCTGGGATTACAGGCATGATCCACTATGCTCAGCTTCCTTTATTTTTTTTTTTTTTCCTTTAAACTACCGGGTCCCTAAATAGCTGGTCAAAGGTACCTGCCTCAGAAAATGGACATAAATGTGTGCTTTGGTAGAAACTGATTAAGAACAAAAATGGTTGCATTTATCCAGGTGCCTGCCTAGGTGCTGCACACTGATGTAATTTCTAGATCTCACCACAAGTTTGTGTGGAAGGATATGGTACCTATTTTGCAGATGGAAAGAGTGAGGCAGTGACTGATGCAGAACCAGATTTCTGGGAAGGACAGTGTTGGGATTAGACTGTAGTCCTCTTGGGTCACCCAACCTTGGAAGTAGGTTTGGAGAGGTGAATTAGGTATATTTGATAAAAGATATTGCTATCTCTTTCCAATGAGGCAAAGCTGACAGTGGGACTGAAGGTGGTGACGTGACACTTGTCACTAGCAGGGAGGCAGGAATGCCACCATGTGGGCTCAGAGGACAGAGCTTTGAGCCAAAGAGGATTATTCTCCAGCTTTAAAAACAAATGAAATTTGCCCTAAAAAAAGGAAAAAAATCAAATGGAATTTTCCCTGCCAGGTTTCAGACTTGCTTGGGATCCACAATCTCTTTCTTCCTTCTAATTTCTCCCTTTTGGAATGAAAACATGCAGCCTCTGCCTGCCCCACAGTCATTCTTTGGGAAGTGGGTAACTTGTCTGGTTTCATAGGCTCGAGGTTGGAGAGGAATTTCACCCTAAGATGAGTCATATCTGAGCCTCACCTGCGTCTGGTTCAGATGATACTTAGATGAGATTTTGGACTTAAAGTTGATGCTGGGGTGGGCCAAGTCTTCTGAAGGCATTGAATGGTATGAATGTGACTATAACTTGCACATGGAAGGCTGAACATTTTTTTTTTTGAGACAGAGTTTCACTTATTAACCCTTGGTAGAGTGTCATGAAGTCAAAGCTCACAGCAACCTCCAACTCCTTGGGCTTAGGTGATTCTCTTGCCTCAGCCTCTCGAATAGCTGGGACTACAGGCGCCCACCACAACGCTCATCTATTTTTTTGTTGTGGTTTGGCTGGAGCGGAGTTTGAACCCACCACCCTCTTTATATGGGACTGGTGCCCTACTCCCTGAGCCACAGGCACTGCCCAAAGGCTGCACATTTTTTTATTTTTGTAGACAGAGCTTCAAGCTATCCCCCTGGGTAGAGTGCCATGGCATCACGCTCACAGCAACCTCCAACTCCTGGGCTCAAGCGAGTCTCCTGCCTCAGCCTCCCAAGCAGCTGGGACCACAGGTGCCCACCACAACGCCCAGCTATTTTTTGGTTGCAGCCATCATTGTTGTTTGGTGGGCCTGGGCTGGATTTGAACGCGCCACCTTAGGTGTATGTGGCTGGCGCCTTAGCTACTTGAGCCACAGGCGCTGAGCTGGGCTGCACATTTTTTGAGGGACTGAAAGACAGTGTTCTGGGTTGAATTGTGTCCTCTCAAAATTCATATATCACAGTTGCCCTAGCAGGGGCGTCCAACCTGCAGTCCGTGGGCCACATGCTGATTTTGTGAGGACTTTTTTTGCTTATCTGGTGATATTGGCTAGCACAAAAAATATGCACAGACCTTTTTATTGCTAATCAATTTTCATCAGTGTGTATTTAATGTGTGGCCCAAGGCAACTCTAATTCTTCCAAGGTGAAGCAGACAAAAAAAAAAGGTTGGACACCCATGCTAGGACTTCAAAATATGGCCTTATTTGGAAATAGAGTCATTGTAGAGGGAATTGGTTAAGATGAGGTCACAGTGGAGTACAGTGGGCCTTTAAGCCAATTATGACTTATGAAAAGGGGAAATTTGGCCCCAAGTATGCACAATGGTAGAACTCCACGTGAAGATGGAGGCAGAGATCAGAGTGATGCTTCTATACCAAGGAATGCCAAGGAGAAGCTGGGAGAAGTGTGAGACAGACCCTCCCTCATAGCCTCTGGAGGACCTGGGCCTACCCACCACACTGGACTTTGGCCTTCTGGCCTCCAGAACTGGGAGAAAGTAAATTTCTGTTACTTAGGCTGCCTGGTCTGTGATGGCAACCCCTAAGGCACGCACACAGATTTTGGTGCATATAGGGACATGTTGTACAATGGACCAGAAAGTGGTTGCTTGTACTCCTGGCTAAGGGGTGGACACATCTTGGGGACCTGGTGAGTATTCCCTCTTCTTTGTCTCCCAGGCTGGCTATGACCCTGTCCAGGACTCCCTTCCTTCTTTCCTCCACTGCCCATCCTGGGGATAGAGTTCTGGGGTGACAGAGGCTGCTGAAGTTCTGCCCCAAGTACTCATGGGACAATGATGTGGACACTTCCTTTCAGTTGCTGGTGCCTGCATTTAGGAGATGAGAAACCAGAGAGGATAGAAAAGGGAGCCGGTAAGTTGGTAAATCCTGCATAGTCATAAGGGCTTGGGAAGCTGGGTTTACTCCTCAGGGCCCACCTTGGAGACACCTGTCCCTGATGGCTGGAGATTTCTTTTTTTTTTTTTTTTTCTGAGACAGAGTCATCTCACTTTGTTGCCCCCTATAGAGTGCTGTGGCATCACAGCTCACAGCAACCTCAGACTCCTGGGTTCAAGTGATTATCTTGCCTCAGCCTCTTAAGTATCTGGGACTACAGGTGTCTGCCACAACACCCAGCATTTTTTTTTTTTTTATAGACTTGGTCTCACTCTGGCTCAGGCTGTTCTCAAACCTGTGAGCTCAAGCAATCCATCTGCCTTGGCCTTCCAGAGTGCTAGGAGATGTCTGGAGATTTGGATCCCAGGAGCACAGGCTCCCAGGGCACCCTCCTGGAACACTTTGCATGTATCACATCCTTACATGTCCCCTCTATGAGAAAATCACTAACTTCATTTAGAAGATGAGGAACTAGAGGCACAGAAAGGTTGAGTAATTCGCTCAAGGACACACAGCAACATTGCAAGCCATCTTTGAGACAGTGCTCTCACTGACCATCTGGACCCTTCCTCTGCAGGTCTCAGACCCAAACTCTTTACCCAGTAGGTATGGCCTCTCGTATTTTTACAGTAACCCCAGGCAGAACTGAAACCTGAAAATAATGGGCCCGTTTCTGGGCATGTGGAAACTTACAGGATGTGTCTTCAGCTGGGCTGCCAAGCAATTCCATTCCGGTCTCTTCTGGGAGTGGCCTACAGACCCAACCAGGAGTGGGCATCACACCAGGCACCGCAGATCCAGCCAGAGGAGCACCAAATGACCCAAGTGGGTCCAGCCAAGTGAGTTCAGACAAAACAACAACAGCAACAAATGTATTTAGTTTGAGTAATTGCTGGGCCCAAATACATTTCTTTCTTAGCATGGAAAAATCATAAAATAGCAATACTGGAGGGCTCCTTTCAGATCATCCAATTAATATTAAGCCTTTCAGGCTCGGTGCCTGTGGCTCAAGTGGCTAAGGCGCCAGCCACATACTCCTAAGGTGGTGGGTTCGAATCCAGCCCAGGCCCACCAAACAACAATGACGGCTGCAACCAAAAATAGCTGGGAGCTTGGGAGGCTGAGGCAGGAGACTCGCTTGAGCCAGGAGTTGGAGGTTGCTGTGAGCTGTGATGCCACAGCACTCTACCCAGGGTGACAGCTTGAGGCTCTGTTTAAAAAAAAAAAGCCTTTCAGAGATTTTTGGATGGGGAAAGGTAAGGCCCACAGAAAATGGAGGTCTCATCCTGCATCTCATGGCTTCATATACTTCAGAATGTGAGTTGAATTCTTTCTAGGGTGACCCTGCAGGGTTTGGTCTCTGATGAGTTGCTGTCAAATGCAGCAAAGAGTATGAAAATAGTACAGAAGTGTCAACTGTAAGAAGTCACCATGCCAATGCTGGAACGATATGAGCAACGGAATAAATAATGAAATATTGGACTATAAGCCAAAGTATAAAATAAATGTCCATGAGTCCATATTGGTATAAATAAGTGATTGAATAAATAAATAAGAATAAATAAGCAGGGAAGAAGCGACAAATCTTCCCCACAGAAGAACTGCAAATAATTTATGTAGCTATCTACTCTCAGGGAGGTGAAGGACTCCCTACTATGTAAGTGTGGGCTGCACACAGTACAGGAAAGTCTGAGAAACTGTCATAGCCCAGAGGAGCCTGAGGAGATGCGATAACAAAAATATCATGTGGGATCCTGGGTGGGGGCCCTGGCACAGAAAAAAAAAAAAAAAACATTAGGGGAAAAGTACTAAGAAAATCTGAATAAACCTGGGCACAGGTTCATGCCTGTAATCCCAGCACTTTGGGAAGCTGATGCTGGAGGACCACTTGAGGACAGAAGTTTAAGACCAGCAGGGCAACACAGTGAGACTCCCATCTCTACAAAAAGGCTTTTATTTTTATTATTATTATTTTTGAGACAGAGTCTCACTCTGTTGCCCTCGGTACAGTGCATGGAGTCCCAGCTCACAGCAACCTCAAATTCTTGGGCTTACGGGATTCTCTTGCCTCAGCCTCCCAAGTAGCTGGGACTACAGGTGCTTGCCACAATGCCTGGCTATTTTTATTGTCGTTGTAGTTGTCATTGTTGTTTGGCAGGCCCAGGTTGGGTTCGAATCCGGCAGCTCCAGTGTATGTGGCTGGCGCCCTAGCTGCTGAGATATAGGCGCCAAGCCTACAAAATAGTTTTTAAAAGCCAGGCATGGTGGTCTACACCTGTAGTGCCAGTAACTAGGGAGGCTGAGTAAGGAGGATAGCTTGAGCCCAAGAGTCAGAGGCTACACTAAGCTGTGATCATGCCAGGGTATTCTAGCCTGGGCAACAGAGTGAGATTCCATCTCTAAAAAAAAAAAAGAAAAGATGAAGAAAATCTGAATCAAAAAAAGAAAAAGAATCAAGTGTGGACTTCCTGTTACTAAAAATATATTAATCTTTCTTTATTAATTGAAACAAATGTACTCTACTAACGTAAGTCGCTAATCATGGGAGAAACTGGGTGAAGAGTACCCAGGAACTCTCTACATCAAGTTGACAACTTTTTTGTAAATCTAAAATTGTTCTACATAATAAAGCTTATCTTAAGAAATACAGCCAACTGTATATTGATGTCTCTTTAACGTAGGCCTGGACTCCCCCCTCAGAGTCTGCATGGCTTTTCGGCAATCCCTGGACTACTTGAAGTGAAGGTCTCAGGCTGCCTGAGCTTGACCCAGGAGCTCTGGCTCCTTTGCTCCCCTGGGAAACATTCCATTCCAGGTAGAACCATTTTGCTGGGGCTGCCAGAGCTTCTAGCCATGGGGTATGCTGACTCAGGAAGGCCAGGAAACTCGTTCTTCTCTGCAACTCAGCACTGCCTGCTCAGCTGTTTAGACAGGAAGGATGGTGGAACACTTTTTCCTTTTTTTTTTTTTTTTTTTAAAAAAGACTATTCCCTCGTCTCTGTTCTGCTTAGGGCATGAGCTGGCAACCTTATTGCAGTGCTCCCCCCCCACCCTTCTCACCATTCACTCATTCATGAAAGGTTCTTTGAGGAATTGCTATGTTCCCAGGGTATAGTTGGTCCTGGAGGTAAGGGATGAATCAGATGTCACCCAGCTCCCATGGATGAAAAAGGTTATAACAGAAGAGTGTCCAAAGGAAATGGAAACATCCACACAAAAACATACTTGAGGCTCGACGCCTGTGGCTCTAGCGGCTAAGGCACCAGCCACATACACCTGAGCTGATGGGTTCGAATCCAACCTGGGCCCACCAAACAACAATGACAGCTGCAAGCAAAAAATAGACAGGCTTTGTGGTGGGCACCTGTGATCCCAGCTACTTGAGAGGCTGAGGCAGGAGACCCGCTTGAGCCCAGGAGTTGGAGGTTGCTGTGAGCTGTGATGTCATGGCACTCTACCCAGGGCGACAGCTTGAGGCTCTGTCTCCAAAAAAAAACCCCTCATAATGAATGTGCATAGCAGCATGATTCATAAAAGCCCATAAGTAGAAACAACCCAAGTGTCCATCAAGGGATGGATGGATACGTAAAATGTGGTCCATACACACACAGGAGCATCATTCAGCCATGAAAAGGAAGGCGGTCCTGACACAGGGTACAGCATGGACAGACCTTGAAGATGTCGTGCACAATGAGGGAAGCAGCCACAGAAGGAAACACAGTATGTTGCTGCATTTATGTGAAATGTCCAGAACAGGCAGATCCACAAAGACTGGACCTGGATTTTGTGGTTACCAGGGGCTGGGGGTTTGGGGGCGACTTAATAGAACGCAGTTTCCTTTTGAAGTGATGAAAATATCTTTGAACTAGATAGAGATGGTGGTAGTACAACCTTGTGGGTGTACTAAATGCCAGTGAATCGTGCACTTTAAAATGGTTAATTTATGTGGTTAATTTAAATGGTTAAAGTCAGAAGAAGGTTTTAAAGAGACACACTGAGGCTGAAGAGTCAACTCACACCTAAGTGCCTGATATGTAAGAAACACATTATCCACTTACAACATTACCGAAATGCTGCCACAGAATTGCAGACTGACAGCTGATGCACCAAACCTAGCTGTGTCCTGCCCACACAGCATTCAAAAACCTTTTACATTTGCTGTTGAATCAGAGATGTGACACAAAAGGCCTAGATTTCCATCTTCTTGAGTCAGGAGACCTTTCCTTCCCAACGGATAACAATCTAACAATCAGCAGGGATTGTCCTCTGATGCTCTCCTGGGTGTCAGAATTTCCCTCAGACTTCTTTCTCTGCCTTCCCAGCACCCATCAGCATCTGAGTTTCCAGTGCCTCTTGTAGAATCATCTAGAAACATAACTTATGCAGGATATCCACCATGTACCACACTATGGGATTGTCACGGCATGTTCTTATTTATTCCATAAAATAACCGTATGAAGCAGGTAGATGCCCACTGTACAGAGGAGGAAAATTAGGCTGGGTGAGAAAATCCTGCCCAAGTTGAACTGTTCAAGGAGGCAGAGCTGGGATTCCGTCCCCTGACACCAGCCCCAAGCACTTTGTCATTGTGCTCGACTGCCCCCTTCTGCCCAATTGGCGCATGTGCATGAACTCCAATGAGAACAAAAAAATGTCCACCAGCTGTCCAGCCACCAACTCCTTCTGCCAGAGGGAAACTCTTCTTATTTTGCAGCTGGCACCAGCTTGGATGCTCATCAGAATGTAACTCAGCCTTCTGACTCTGGACTGTCCATGCACATCCGACATTGGCTTCTCATTAGGTGCACCGTCACCAGGCTCCAGCTGAAACATCACACTGGGGAAGATATCCCAACAGTGCGGCACAGAAGTGGTGAGAGAGACCAAGAGGACCCAGTGCTGGGCGGTGCCTTCTCTCTGAGCCTCAGTTTCCTTATCAGTAAAATGGGAACAGTGTTGACACCTACTCTTCATTCATTCAACAAATATAGTCACGTGTAATGGGGAATGCATTGTTAGGCAATTACTGTAGGCTTTTGTAACACAAAGGTATTTCTGTATCTAAATAGAGGAAAGGTACAGTAAAAATATGATATCAAAGATAGAACAGGTTCACCTGTATAGGGCACTTGGCATGAATGGAGCTGGTAGGACTAGAAGTTGCTCTGGGTGAGTCAGTGAGTGAATGCAAAGGCCCAGGGCATCATTGTGGACCATCGCATGTGTCCGTCCAGTGCTTTACAAACCTGTACACTTAGGCCACCCTAAAGTTATGCAAAAGTCAAGTAATTGTGCTACAATGTTGCAGTGGTCACAATGCCACTAAGGGGCAGGAGTTTTTCAACTCCATTATAATGCCAAGAGACCACAGTTGTGTAACGTGGCCCACCACTGTATGAGACAGATGCAGGGGTCTGGGCTAACGAGTGTCCAGTTTGGAGGGCAATCTGGGTGACTTTCAGCGTCAACACCAAGTAACAGCACCCAGTTATTTGATCAGGCAGTAGTCTAGATGTTGCTGTACTTTGTGGATGTGGTTAACATCTGCAGTTGTTGACTAAGTCAAGAGGATTTTCCTCAACTATTGATCTCAAGGCCTTCAGAGCAAACACTGAGGTTTGCCTGAGGGAGAAGAAATTCTGCCTCTAGACTGCAACACCACTTTCTGCCTTAGAGTTGCCCTGCAGGTTTCAGACTTGCCCCCCAACCCTCACAATTGTGCTAGCCGATTTCTTGAAACAAATCATATGTG